ATTCTTTCGGCAACCGTCCAAAGCAGTATCGTGCTTTTGGCAGTCGATCAAATACGGCGGTTGCTGGTTTCGTGCACGATCATTCGGAGTACAGATTTGCCGAAGTCAATATCAGTATGAGCTGTTATAAGCATCGTTCACTTGTGGTGGCTGTATTTGCAAGACAGCACGCTTTGCGGTGGTGTTCGTTCATCCTCCGTTTTTAACGTGAGTAGGCTTAAAGTCACAAAAACAGCACCCTTTGCCAATCTCTGGTACATATCTCATAAATGTGCTCATGAATTGGAAAATCATTACCAAGCCAGTCAATGCTTGTAGTAAAGCACTTGAGATAAAGCTTTAGTGGTCAGCTACACAAGTACTTAAACTTGTGATAAGCTGTTATGAAAGCAATTATGGTTTTTATCAAATTAGACAATTATTAGCGGCCGCCTCAATAAAGATACCCAGCAAGTATAAATATACGATATATACTTAGTACACAAGCATATATGTACATATGTATGTAAATACATACACGCATATGTACAAAAGTAGATTTTATCAAACTGTTCGATACATTGCGAAGGTATAATAAAAGAACTTTGGATAAATGACTGTTAATTTTATAAGATTGTAAAAAAAATTCGTCGATTGAAAAGAAGAATTTTTAGTTATATCAATTAGTTGCATGATACCACTTCAAACTGACAGCTGATTTCTACTTTAAAGGCCAAAATGTTCGCCAGAATATCGGGTATTACTACTTTGGACTGCTGTTGAAAGATTTCTTATCTAATGAAAACGTACATATTTCAGAATTTCTAACAGCACGTAGGATTGCTATTGCACTTGGTTTAACAACAATTATTTTAACTGTTGTTTTGGTCATTGTAGCAGTTGATGATAGCGTTAAAGCAACAAAGCTAAAAGAAGCTGAAGAGAAGTTGGATGTTTTAGATAAACTTTTGGAATCTTTAATCAATCCGACAACCAATGCGACATCAACAACCTCAGTGATATCAACAACAACAACAACAACAACAGACAGCGGCTTTTAAAAAATTCAATGTTGTGAACAGTGTTAATAATTTTTATTGTAGTAGATATCGGCAAGAAAATTTCTGATAAGTAATATGTCTTTCCGTTGTTTGTGTTAATTTGTTTATGACTAATGACGTTAGCTGAATAAACGGTGCAACAATTTCAGTTGCTATTAATGGTTGTAGATAAAATGGTTTAATACTTTATCTGGACTGATTGCCAGCACCAACAAATTTTTGTTGTATAGACTTCGGATACCTATTGCAAAAACACTTATATAATTATGCATCTGAAACTGCTTATATGGGCAAGTCTTTCAATCCTAGAAGCTATTTTGTTAAGACTTTCCCTTCATTAGTTATTACAGAACAGCTCCTGCAATGCATATCTCCAGTATTACTTCTCGAGAAGTGATATTAAAAATTTTTGTCAAATGGGCGTAGCCACGCCCACTCATAATTACATGTGTATATCTCGTTTACTGCTCCACCAATATCTCCTAAATCTGACAGAGTTGTTGGCCCTTGCAAAACATACAAAACAGCTAAAAATTTTTGAAAGTAGACAGTAACCATGCCCTTATCCCATATAACGGTAATTTGGAGAAATACAAAATCTTCAATAAATCAGTAATTACAGAAGCTAATTTATTCAAAACTGATGTTTTCACTTTGTTTTTTAACCACGTCTGTTGTAGGGAATTAGACACGGAATACACGATGGTAAAATTTTAAATCCCTAATTTACTGGTTTTCACTATATCAACTTAAAATAGTTCAACTGTTGATAGCTAAGTTAGCTTTAGGCAAATCTTGACTATCTTGTGTTAAGCCCGTTTCTCTTTAGCTTTAAAACGACGTTAAGGTGAAGTCTCAACGATGCGCAGAACCTGAGACATAATGATTTGAAGTAGTAAATGATTAGTTAGAATCACGAAAAAATTCAAACTTTGGCGGATCATATCTCCGAAGAAAAAATGTAAAAAAAATTTCCTTGAACACGTGCTAGCTTATTTCCTGTATACAATCCATCGAATCGGATACATGACACAATTTTTTGTTTACGAAATCCGTCCGACTTAAAAAAGAATGGCTCATATTTCAGAAATTCTTAAACTGCAGTATTTCGAAATTTAATGGCGCAAATTTACTCAAAATGTATACTCCAACAATGCCTCGAAAAGAAGTAAGATACCGCCCACTTATAACTACATACATATTTATATACGTTTATCTCATTAAGTCTAACTGAAAATACCATCGAAGATGTCTGAAATATGGGTAAAACCGTCCCGGCTTACCATGCAACGGTAGTTTTGGGAAAGACGAAAATACTTTTAAAAATTAATAATTATAAATTTAATACGTTCGCCGGGTATTTAATATTTGGCTTCACCCAAACTTAGACTTTTTACTTTTTCATTTTTGTTATTGGTTTATCTTAATTACGAAAGGCATATGTGAAGTGGAGAGCAAATTCGTAAAAAATAAGTCCATCTATGAGCTGCTCTCCCGAAAGCGGAAACGAAATGCTTTGCAAGTGAGGCCATATGGTCTTATTTCCATTTTGTTTTGGAAGTATAACCATATGATGTTATTTCCAATCTAGAAGTGAAATAAAGTCATATTCAAAATTGTACAAATGAGTAGCAAAGTCATAATTAACAGTCATAACCTTTTCAACTAAAATACATGTCTGGCCACACTGTTTGTGGATTACAAATTTTTTTATTGGTTGACCGTGGGCGTGATTCTTTGTTATTCAGTCCGAATCTAGAAGAGAATAGTCGTGTGGTTTATCAGCAAAAAATTCAATTCAAATCAAAATTATCAGAAAAAAATTAAAGAATGTGTTCAGATTATCCGGCCCCATATTATCCGGGAATAATGTTCTAATGAATAAGTGAACAGAGAAATTTATTCCGAATGTTCGGAATGTGAATAAAGAAACTCTCGCCGTGTGTTAACATTGTTACGGTAATTTTTAAGTTTACGGACACTTGTGAAAAGCATTGGTAATCATTAAATTATTTCGGCAAAAGCGGCAATCAAATATGTATACGCATTTTAAGACCCGATTATTACGAATTCGGGAACGGATATTAACTATTTCTTTTGATAATATTTCAAAAGTTGTCTGTAGAAAATACGTTCCGAATATTACTTAGAATCCTCCTACTGGCAGCACCTTTAAATCATAAAAACTAACAACCTTTCTTAAAAACTATTTTGAGTACCAATAATTAAAGTAATTATGATTTATTAAAGTTTTCAAAATTCGGGTATGCTTAATGTGACCAACTATTTCATAGCTCAAAGGAGTACAGAAACTGAAAACCAAAATTAGTATGAAAGTATGTAATGAGAAAATGGTAAAAGCAGAATATACAAAAACGGTAATAGTGTACAAATTCAACAAATAAATTTTAGTAATTAAAAATCTATACTATTCATTATTATAAGGCAAGGCGCCTATTCCCAGTGATCTACTGATCGTACAGAGACAAGTCATGTATCAAATTAAAGTGCTCGATCTGAAACTTTGCACGAACATTTCAGATTTAAATGTCATTAGACCACTTTTGAAATATTTCCATGGAAATTTTTTTTTAAGTTTTACACAAGGCGAATTAATATAAGCTGATAGCAGGAATACAAAAACAAAAATTTACATGTATTTTGTTTTTGCTCCCCGCAAACATATTCTGAGCGTTCAGAATATATGAGTCCGAAAGGAGTCCTAGGTAGGTAAAAAATATGAGTTTCAAAAACAAAAAATTGTTTACTCTTATATGCATCTTTTGGGATTCATATATGATCCAAGTTATGAGCCAGCACCTTGTGCCAATATAAAAACAATAAAGATTTGAAATTTAGATATATCTAAACTTGTTTATACAGAAATTGAAAATAATTAGAAAACAAAAAAATTAACACAATTTAGCTGCAGCTGCTGCTAATGAATGCATGTTGGAATCTGTTTATGCACGTAAGAATGTGTATATGTTATCTGAAAGGAATTTTTCCGAATGCCTTTGCAAATATAGTGCGTTCAATAAGACTCAAAGAACAACCTAAAATAAGAGTCCGAATGTACATAGTAATTTATGAGGCCGATAAGAGCCCTAAAAAGTGTCTGAAATGATTCATATATGAGGCCAAAAATGAGCCGTATATGAGGCCAATAAGAGTCGAATATGACTCATACTGAGGCTCATTTTATGTATGAATTTAAGCTCAAATAAGTCGACCTTCGGAGGAAGGGAAACACCCTCATATCGGACTCTTAAATGAGCTCATAATGAGCGTAATGGCTCCGAAATAGGACTCCTTGAAGACTCATTTATGACTCCAAATGTTTGCTGGGCTTTGGCGGCATAAACTGTCAAAATATGTAAGAGTGTGTGTAGAAATTCCAACAAAATTTTTCAATTTGATATCAGAAGCCGTGCGGCACATACACAAAATCAGCTGAGCTAGTAACACCACCTTATATTAATTCTCCTTGGTTTTACATTATACAATATTTTTCAGGTCCTTTATCGCTTACCAACTGAAATCAGACCTGTCAAATATCGACTCTATTGGGAGCCGAAATTCGAAACGAACACTTGCGAAGGCTATGTAACCGTACAGATAGAGGTTGACGTGGAAACTAATTTAATAGTTATGCATGCCAAGGATCTGGACATTGAAGGCGTCAGTATTTTGAATGTCATGGCCTATCTACGTATTACCGTTAAGTCATTCTATTTGAGTCCAGAACGTGAAATGCTCTTCATCGTATTGGGGGAATTGTTGCACACGGGTACACCATATGTGGTCAACATCGAATTTACATGTCAATTGAATGGACTAAATGGCATGTACTCAAGTGTATACACTAATGAGGAAAATGCGGAAAGGTGAGTTGAATATGTTTTAAAAAGTAAGTTTACACTCGATGACTATCACGAACAAGAGTCATTTCTTAAATGAGTAAATAATATGTTAACGGATCATATTAGAGAGAGAGAGAGAGATATTCCTACAACCTAGAAATCTGTGTCTCTAGTTGATGACTCTTTTCGCCGAAAATAATTTATCCAGCTATTATTATGTACATATATTTAGAGAAGCTCCGAACTTCAATGGCTGTAGCTCTAGCTATACATGAGAGAAGATATGGTAAGATAAATGCACTTGTATGACAGAACCAAGACACAACACGCCTTAAAAGGTATTTTGTGTCTCTAAAAATTTTACTTAACCCAGTATGCCCAATATACCCTCGGCTTCCCTAATGAATCCCATAAGGGCCCTGGCAATCGAGTTCATTATTACTAAGGCATGGACGATTGGATATTTGAAATAAATTGCTCTTTATCTAACCAAGGCTGGACAGTCAAACAGAATGTGTTCGGAAGTTTCCTCATCCTCAAGAGAGAGCCGGCATTTCGACTCCCCTATAATACCTTTTCGATGCATTATTGAACCGGGATTTTGATCCGGTTCAACGGTTTGGGAATTAAACAACCCTAAGCCTTCATAAAAAGTGGTTTCGCTGTCGGTTCGGATAAAACATTTGTGGAAAACTTTGGTTCGGTTATTAGTTCAGTTACTTAGTAGAAAAAAGTGTTTAATCTGGTTCACGTTCCTATAAAGAGAAAATGCTGTCTAGAGGCAGCCTTAGAATCCAGACGATAGACCCACTACAGAGTAAATAAATACAGAGTACAGTAAATACACCTTATCGGATTCGCGGAAAACTAGTCTGGCGAAAGTCGACTTAAAGTTGACGGCCTAAAACCAAATAATATTATTTACGAGAAAAAATGGTTAAGGTACTTTATTTGTATGTCAATATCAGGAAATCTTAAGCGAATGAAACCTGGAAAACTTTTTCTGGTTACTGAGGGAGCTTCATTATGCAAAACTTAAGCAGAATCGGGAAGAGGACACCACCTTGTGGTAACGCCCGTTAAGAGTTTCGATGTTTGATTCCGGAATATTATTATAAGTTAGCCGTTTCAGTACCGTTACCTTAGTGCCGTTAACTTATCAATTTTAAAGTATAGTTAAATCAGGAAGAATACACCATTCGCTGAACCAGACCAAATATACAAATATAGTCTATAGAGAATCCTTTCATCGAGATCAATCGACACCTTCGTCAACACTCGCTTCGTGAATTCCACCATTGCAGTCCAACGCCACCTATCGCAGAAGTTAGAGCTGAGTTGCTACGGGAGGCTGGCTATATTTTTGACTCAACTCCTTTTTGGATATTGCAGCAGGCTAAATCAAATTGGAATAAGATGCCCCGACGACGCTATTGTTATTATTAGGTCGGGAAAAATAGCGATGTGACCTACGAAGATTTATTGTGCTGAACCCTAATTGTAGTCAGTCAAACCTTAGGCTATTCGGGAAACTAAGCACTTTGGAGGGTGCTATGTTCCCAATTTTGGATGGATAAGTAAATCGTTCTCCAAGGTGTATCAGTCAACGATTGATGATACGAGGCTTCCTCCACCAGCCCACAAAACTTGAAGTCCGTTTCTATAGAAAGCCCCATTTTACTCAAATGGTACCTTGCCTTGCAGTGTCCTGTCAGGTAGCCAGTAAGTAAGTAAGTTCAAGAAGTCTTTCGGAGTGCCTCCTTGAAGGAGTTAACATTCGAGAGATGTGAGTTCCAATTGGGGTTTCTGTACAGAGTTACCCTTAGGTACTTCTCCTCTTCTGCGAACTGTTGCTTGCAAGGTGGGTCCAGTCAAGTTGACTTTCATTATTTTGGAAAATGAGACAATGAGACAACAATAGTGGGTTTATTGGCTAGCTCTTTTCAGCACACCAGTCTTCAGTTAGTTTTAGAGCAGCATGCAATCTGATGCAAATAATGCCTCATGCCAGCCAACAACGTAGATGACTAAGTCATCTGCACAACCATTGCCTTTCAGCTTTTCCTGGAGTTCGTTAACAACCGGTGTCCATAGTAGGCCCCGCGAAGATTCAACCACTAGGAAGGCTAGGAATATCCTTCATACACTAACCACCTCTTCAAATGTCGACTCACATCGGCTCATCTAACATCCCTTTCCATACTGATTAATGCAAAGTTTATTAAGCAACTTTAACAAAAAAGAGTTTCCTCATTTTACTTTTGATTTAATTTACTACAGTGGAAAATTTTCCAGTATTTAGATATAAAATTAATAAAAAACATCTAACTACAATTTTTCAATCAATAAAATAAGATTGAAAAATGAAAATACTTATTTTAGTTTGTGAAAAAATTTGGCAAGGGCTTCAAAATCTATACAAACAAGTAAGAAAGTCTAAGTTCGGGCGGAGCCGAACATTAAATAC